TTGCTTCACTGGCCCAAGTTGGCACCATCATTGCGCTCTTCCCGGGTGAGACAGATCAGTCGCTGGCTTCTGGACGGCTGCTTTTCTCCATTTTGTTTAGTTCTTTTTCTGGATCCTTGTTCTGATTTTCTATTTGGGAAATATTCTTTGTCTTCCCATTTTAGCTGCCTCTCTGTGTTTGTTTCTAATATTAGGTAGAGCTGCTATGTCTCCCAGTCTTTTTAGAGTAGACTTATGTAGTAGGTGTCCTGTGGGGATCAGTGGCACAGTCTCTGTGGTCACCTGAGCCAGGTGCCCTAGGTGTTTTCTTTGTGTGGGTTGTTTGTGCCCTCCTGTTGTAGTTGAGCCTTGATTGCTGTTTGCATGTCCGTGGGAGGAATTGAACCTCAGGCTGATTTGTTGTAAGTATTGGCCATGATTACAGTGGAGGAGCTATTGTGCAGAAGCTGACCATAAAGAGCAGGATTCGCTTTAGTAGGGCCCTGGTTCCTGCCCAGTTTGCTCTTTGGTTGTGTCTTTTGTGGAGGTGTTTGGATGGTACTCTGGTGTAGTCTGAAGTTGGCAAGTGAGTGTGGTTCCTGGAGCCTCTTGGGAGGACCTCTGTTGCAAGCCAAGGTCAGCCACTGCCTGTGCCCTGCCTTGGGCCACTTGGTATGAGCTACAAAGTGATCTTAATATGGTTGCCACTTGTGTTGGGCTTGGAGTTGCCTGGAAGAGGCTTAGCTGTGAACCGAGGCCAGCTCCTGCTAGTCCCAGGCTTAGAGCTGCTTAGCAAGAGACATGAGGCATGCGTTTCCTACTTCACCATCATGACTAGAACTCATTTGGTTCTTTATAACCTCTTGTTCTTTGCTGAAATTTTCGATTTTTTGTTTGTTTCAAGGTGGTTAGTGATTGCTTATTAAAGTATTTTTATTATAGTTTATTTAAATTCACTGTCAGATAATTCCAGTATCCATATCATCTCAGTATTGTCATCTGTTGATTATGTTTCCTCATTTAAGTTATGATTTTTCTGGTATTTAGTATGACCAGTGATATTATTATTATTATTATTATTATTATTATTATTATTATTATCATTATTATTTCTTAAACATTTGGCTATTATGTTAGGATACTCTGGTTCCTATTTAAATCTTCTAAAATGCCATCATTCTGTTTAGCTTTAGCACACAGATTTTAGCATACATTTGCAGGCTGTGGTTCTACCAGTTTTTCAGAGCTTTTGTGATTCCATTTGGTCAGCTTGAGCTATCTAGTTCTACTGGGGGTTACACTGATGTCTACTGGTGCCACCTAAGGGGACAGAGGTGCTTCCCTAGAGCAGGAAGCGTGTGGCTTTAGGTAGGTAAGTGGTTCTCTAGCTTATGGGAAGGTTTTTATTTGTGTGTGTGTGTGTGTTTTCGGGCTCAGTAGTTGTAGAGGGATTGCCCTGCTGCCTATGCTGCCCAGTTGGCCTTTTGCTCTTGGTAGGGAAGGGGAGTCTTCAGCCCATAGGGGACAAAGGTCACTTTCCATAGACACTTACTGTTAGTGATGCTCCCACTTGGTTCCCATTACTGGTGATGTTGCTGGTGGGACTTCCATTTGATCGGCAAAAAAAAATGAGTCTACCTCAGTCACCTTCAGTTGCTGGGTTGTAGTTGGTGGAAGCCAGATCTGCATTTCCTTTGCTTCTTATTTGGGGAGCCTCTGTGTTCTTCCTTAGGTCCTGTTGTCCGTAACCAGTCCATCGTTTTCTTTCTACCTTTCAGAGTAATCTTTTAGTGGCCTCTTGTTTAATTCCAGGTTATATAGCTGTACTTAGTGGAGTATATAATGATTTTTAAACTTTTTTAATGTTATTTTTCTAAAATGAGTAAAGAGAAGCATAAGTCATTAAGATGTTAAGAGTTCTGTGAAAACAAGTGTTCTGTTATAGAAAAGGTGGTTTTAACCAAAGAATATATTAAAAAATATTTAACAGACAGCACAAGAGTCACCAGTGAATCAGAGCATATTTTAACATCTGGTATTTTACAGGTGCTTTTCAGCTGAATGTCAGCTCTGGTTTAAATGAAGTTCAACAGGTGTCTCTACTGCAGAGAGCTTTTAATATGCTAATGCTCATTGTTGGTCCCTTGGAAGAAATGCAGCATAGTTTTCCATTATTTATCTGTCCATAGAAGTGAACCCTTTTGTTTACAGTTTTTCTTGGCACTAGCATTTCATGAAAGACTTCGTGGAGGGAAGCCATTTTTATCATCATCTACCTCATCCAATGTAATGTATTAGATGCAATCATTTAATTAAAAAGTTATTTCTGAGAACCTTAACAAGCACCTAATTCTACTTTGATTAAAAAAAATCTGATAAAATATTTCAATATATTTAAACTGTCCTTTAAACTGTTTCAGAAAATGAGATTTAGATGTATGGCCAAAAAAGAAAAATGTTTATTGTGTTGTGCTAAAAATATGTAGTCTAATAGTACTGATTTTTCTAATGTTGTTATTCATATTTTTAATATTTTCTCTTTCCAGCTTTAAGGGACAATCGGATCGAGCTGGTTCGGGCTTCCTGGCATGAATTGAGTATCAGCGTCAGTGATGTGTCTCTCTCTGATGAAGGACAGTACACCTGTTCTTTATTTACAATGCCTGTGAAAACTTCCAAGGCCTATCTCACTGTTCTGGGTAAGTGCAAGGAACTAAGAGGATGCAATATCAAGCCAAAGAAATGCATACTACTAGAGCAACCTGATTCAAAAATATATATGCATTTTGAGGATTATAATAATAGATGTAGTTTAAGCCCTTCCCTGCTAAATTGTAACAAAAGGCATTTTAAAAATCACTTAGTCGCCTTCCCCATTTTATATAAAGACAAAAAGAGGTATAAAGATCTCTATAACTTCTAAGAGCACATAACCATTTTGTTGCTTAGCCAGCAATACACACCAGGTTTGTTTTTCAGCTATATTTGTTTGTATCAAGTCATCTATATATTATATAAATAGTGATTCTTTCATAAAGTGATAGAATAACAAGCATAATGAATTCAACATGTCTATATGGTGCTCCTCCATTTTATCACATCAGTCACCTGATGGGTGCTTCTCTAATATGTTCTGGCTTTCAAATATGACCCCTTTGTGTGTTTCAGGGCATTTAAAATGACCCTGACATTTTTATGTGTCTTTTTACCTTTTAACTTTGTAGTTTTCTAGATTCTTAAACTGAATACATACTATCACTTGTGCATGCAGCTGATAGCTTCTTTGTGCTTTTATTCTCTAAATATTGGGCCATTTTCCCAAAGGGTAAAGTGATACAAAAAAAAAAAACACATTCATAGAGATTCCAAGAAATTCAGGAAATACAGTTGCATCTTAGAGTTTTCTGTGCTTCCACAAGTGTCAGTGGCCCTATCAGTTGAAATTGCTGCAGTTCATTGAAACACACCTGTGTATTAAACAAGTTAGAGGAATTTAAAGGTTGATTTTTTTTGTCCCTAGTTTGCCTTCCTTTTTTGATACATAAAAGCATAATATTGCATTTAAAAGAACTGATGTATGCTGTTCTTTTGGGTGAGACTATTAAAGTTAACCCAGCTAGTGTATTGGCTTTGTGCATATAAGAAACATGTTTCTTTGCAAGTCCCACAGAGACTATTTTATAAAAATCTTTATAAGTTTGCCATTAAGGACAAAATATTACCACTAAAATGGAGTATTTCAGGATAACAGCTGCCTAAGGTTAATGTATTATTCTGTAGAGAGTCACCGTGAGACCCCAAGAATAGACATGTGGCTGATTTCAGCTTATTAAATGATGGTGTGATATGGATTTTTTTTTCAAAAAGGCAATAATAAAGGAGAACAGAAAAAGAAAAACAAACAAACAACTAACCAGCCAACTGGAGTATGTTGATCTGTCATTTATCTTTGTTGTTGTTGTTGTTTAAATGTGTATTTAACTTAGTGGTGCTTTCCAGTCTGCTTACATTTTATTCTTTTCAAACTGAATTAAATAGTATAATAAAGAAGCTTTCAGCCAGCCTCTATTATTGAATAATTTTAGAAGAAATTATAATAAACCTCTACCATTACAATAGGATATTATTGCCCAAGAAATGTGGACTGTTCTATTATTTAAAACAGCCATGTACTATCTCTGCATATTAGCTACCTGCTTATTGATTGGATGAGTTGGACTAGAAAAGGCAATAAGGGGTTAGTATTAAAAATAATATGTATTATGGTCCACAAAACTATGATTGCATTTCTAATATAAACAATTTCAAAAGAAATTCTCTACTTTAGAAGAAACAGAAAAGTATAGTAGCAAGTACTGATGCATCTCTTATTCCAAAATGCATTTTCTTGAACAAAGTACACAGAGGATAATATCTATTTTAAGCTTTAAGAATTATGAAATCAGGAATGAAAGGTGATATTTTAGTTAAATCATAATTTGTTAAAGAATAAAGAATTGTGCTTTGTGAATTTTTTCCCCCAATGTACACTACGTCATTCTTAAATCCATATACTGGTAAACCTTAAGATATATGGAATGGGTATTTTTAAGATTTACAAAGATTATTTTTGCAGGTAAAACTTAATTTAAACAACTACTTTGATCTAGATCAGTGGTTCTCAACCTGTGGGTCGCGACGCCTTTGGGGGTCAAACGACCCTTTCACAGGGGCCGCCTAAGACCATCGGAAAACAAAAAGATATTTACATTATGATTCATAACAGTATCATAATTACAGTTATAGAGTAGCAACGAAAATAATTTTATGGTTGGGGGTCACCACAACACACAACATGAGGAACTGTATTTAGGGTTCATGGCATTAGGAAGGTTGAGAACCGCTGATCTAGATGAAAATGTTTCAGGTATATATGTGTATATATAATATATATGTATATTTATCTCTATATTATCATAAGCAGTTTATTTTATTTTATTTTATTCTTATTTTTTATATATTTTTTTAATTAGGGAATTGGGGGGATGGGAATAGACAAGTGTGCTCTCCTTTTGTTCTTCAGTCTAGTTGTGGAGGACGTTGCTTCACTGGCCCAAGTTGGCACCATCATTGCGCTCTTCCCGGGTGAGGCAAATCAGTCGCCGGCTTCTGGATGGCCGCTCACTGTGGCTGCTGGCCNAAAATAATTTTATGGTTGGGGGTCACCACAACATGAGGAACTGTATTAAGGGGTCACGGCATTAGGAAGGTTGAGAACTGCTGCCCTAGGTCCATCCATGTTGTTGCAGATGGCAAGATTTCATTTTTTTTTTTTTATGGCTGAGTGATGTTCTATTCTACATATGTACCACTTTTTCTTTATTCATTCATCTGTTGGCCGACACTTAGGTTGCTTCTATATTTGGCTATTATAAATAATGCTGCAATGAACATATGGATACATATTTCTTTTTAAATTAGTTTATTGGGTTTCTTCAGATAAAAACCCAGAAGTAGGATTACTGGGTCCTTCTTTGTCCCTTGTTATAGCCTTTGTTTTAACTACTTTGTCTGGTTTAAGTAAAAGTTATTCCAGCTTTTTTTTGTTTGTTTCCATTTTTATGAAATATTTTCTATCCCTTTCAGTCTGTGTGTGTCTATCAGTCTGAAATGAGTGTCTTGTACACAGCAAATGTAAGGGTCTTGTTTTCTTATCCATTTAGCTACCCTGTCTCTTTTGATTGGTGCATTTAATCCACATACATTTAAAGTCATCATTGATAGATATGTCATTATTGCCATTTTTATTCATATTTTTTATCTTTTTTTTCTTAAAGATGTCCCTTTTATTTCTTATAACTCTGATTTTGTGGTAATGAACTCCATTAGCTTTTTCTTGTCTGGGAAGCCTTTTATCTGTCTTTTGATTCTAAATGATAACTTTGCTGGGTAGAATAATCTTGGTTATAGGTACTTACTTTTCATCACTTTGAATATTTTGTGCCAATCCCTTCTGGCCTGCAAAGTTTCTGCAGAGAAATCAGCTGAAAGTCTTATGGGTAATCCCTTGTAGGTAACTAACTGCTGTTCTCTTGTTGCTTTTAAAATTCTCTCTTTGTCTTTAACCTTTGGCATTTTAATTACGATGTGTCTTGATCTGCGCTTCTTTGCGTTCATCTTGTTTGAGACTCTCTGTGCTTCCTTGGCTTGTATGTTATTTCCTTCGCCAGGTGAGGGACGTTTTCCATCATTATTTCTTCAAATAGGTTTTTAATTCCTTGCTCTCTCTCTACTCCTGGTACCCCTATGATTTTAATGTTGATATGCTTGAATTGCTTCTAGTCCTTTTGGCAGGATCAAGTGAATGTTGGTATGCTTGATGTTGTCTCAGGGGCCCCGTAAGTTGTCCTTATTTTTTGGATTCTGTTTTTTGTTTTTTTTCCCCCTGTTCTTATCTTCCAAATTGACAATGTGATCCTCTGCTTTATCTAATGTATTGATCCCCTCTAATATATTTTTCATTTCAGTTTTTGTATTCTTCATTTCTGACTGGTTCTTTTTTATGTTTTCTACCACCATTTTCTGTTTTCTGTTTTTTTGTGGAAGTTCTCCCTGAGATCATTGAGCATCCTTATAACCAGTGCTTTGAACACTGGTAGATTGCTTTTCTCCGTTTTTTTTTTTTTTTGAAGATTTTTTATTGGGGAATTGGGGGGATGGGAACAGTGCTGGGGAATTGGGGGAAGAGGAACAGACAAG